TTAAAGGACGAGCGTCGTAACGGCGGCCACGGCCCGCAAAACGTATCGGGAGCCGTTCCCTCTTCCGCCTCTTAAACATCACACTCATCACTGCGCCGATATTGCGGCTGTATATCTATATTCTGCTACGATATTGGTCGTCGGCTGTCACGCAGTTTAATTTTGCCGCCAAAAGAAACAAAAAAAAAAAAAATAAAATAAAATAAAATAAATGTGTTTATATATATATATATATATACTCGTAATAAAGACTTTTAAAAGCTTTCGCCGCGTATATAGCATTATGCAGAGGCGCAAACCTAGAGAAGCAACCTCTCAAGCATTCCGCGGCAAGTGGCGAGTGGCAAATAAATGCCCCCCTCCCCCACTTGGTCGTTTTATAGACTGTTTAAAATTGCTAAACACTGAAGTGTAACGATGTATAAAATGCGATTTTATTTTTTTTTATACACATTTTTAAAACGATATCATTTTGTAGTTTTGTACCATTCTACATACCTGTACAATATATAAATATATATTGCGATATCGTTATCGTCGTCGTATACGTTCGTGAATAGGTACTTTTCACTTATGATTTTTGAGAAAACCCTTAATTAATGAATATACGAGAGCGAAGTAAGCCAATTTTTTTTGTCCAAAGGTGGGCGGATATTCTGGTAACTAATATTGTGCAACCACGTTATTCGAAATGGTTTGGGCCTCTGACACCTTGATCTTATTACAAACAGGCTGGGGGTCGTAGCAAAAAAGTTACTGACAAATTTTATCAAACCGTCATCTCGTCGGTAATATACATTCAATTTTAATATTGACCAGCGGTTTATATGCGTGAATAATAGAAAATAATATGTACATTTAATTAAATTCTATTTCAATGATTTTTTTTTTATGTTCATTATTTTGACTATCCCCACCCCTTTAATCGCTACAATAATATCACATGCCTACATGTTTTGACCTCTTTACCAAATATATTTTGCCCGTGGCAACCAAACTAAATAATAGCAACTTTTTCATTCGTGTCATCAGGGTAACGTCTAAAATTAAACAAAAAAGATAAAGGTAATTTTCGAATAGTAAAAATAAAACCAAATGTCAATCATCCTTGAGGGTTTGAGTTTTCAAAAATCTCGTCTTATTGCACATCCGTAGAAACCAAAAAATCTACACCGTGTAGTTTTGACTTCTTATATACGCTCGTTGTTGCTTTTAAGTTCTCACTGTAATCGGTGAGTAAGTGGTATTTGGTTTTTTTTTTTACACCTTTATATATACGGTAAAACTTTTAAATACCGAACAATCTCGGTCACCGTAATTTTGTACATTATTTAGAGGTGTCTATTAAGGGAGGTTTTACTGTGTCTATAACTGCAGTGGCTATTTTTTCGGACTTTACATTGTGCACATACGTGTATTTGAGTTCGGTATATACACACGACGTAGACGGAAATTCGAAATTTCAATATCAAAATAAATTTCAACTAAAACGTCATCTACTAATGAAATTTTTAACGTAAGGTGCTGTTCGGGAATCAAAAATAATAGTTTACCCGCGATAATAAGAATAACAAAAACTAACGGTAATGTAATATTTTAGAGCTATTTGTTTGATAAGTTGTTCAAAAGAATAAAAATAAAAATACCCAAATAGTAAATACTTTCCGAGATAACGAGTGTCTCATCGAGAATTGATTGCACTGTAATATTTTAAAAAACATATATTTTTTTCTTACATCCGCGAAAGAACCTCGTGGCCCGTCCATAATAAATAAGGAGGTGGCAGGTGCACATTTTAATTGTTTGTAGTGCACACAAAAACAGTCACCGTACATAAAATGTTCGTTTAAATAGGATGGAATCGACTGTAGTTTAAAATCTTTTTCTTAACGTATTAATTGTGTGTATCTTTAACTCAATTAGACCGGCTTTTCACTGTTAATATCCATTAAGACGAATGATTTAGTCTGTTTATTTTTCGAATTCAATCGGTTATAGGTAATTATGCCGAATATTTAATATAATATCCGACGATGTGTACAATATGATTGTTATGAATGTTATTGTTAACGCACGTCTATTGTGCGCAGCTAGTGCTATATGCGGAGTAGAACGCAAGTATATTGTGCACTATACTTATATATTTTACAACACGGACGTATTATGTCCCACTACTCTGCCGTCATGCTACTACTGCGTTTTCCACCGTTGGACCGGGCCCGATGCGGCTCCGAGGACCGTCAGTGTTCTACGCGTAAACCGAAATCTTTGGGTCGGCGAAAACCCGCTGCGGGTTCAGATAAAGCGCGAGGGGTGGGTGGAGGAGAGGGAACCGAGGAACAATTCGGTCTGCGATCGTCCGGGTTCCAATCCAATTATGCATTTTATTGATCGTAACACGGACACCCCGTTAAACGGCCAGAGACGCCGCCGGAACGTGATAAGTTGTCCCATAATAACGCGAGGTATCGGCGTAATCGTGCGGCTCGTTTCGGGTTTAGGGAACGCGAATTTGGCCGCCACCGGAATGTTACGGGCATTGCCGACACGCTACTAAATAGTATGCGACTAATAGTTCTAACGGGTTCACGCTGTTGCAATAATTGTTTGCATTCTATAAACTCGCTTGCGATATGTATCGCGCGAGAATACACGCATAATAACAATAATAAAACAATAATAATAATTAATAACAATAATCATAATATTATATGCTTGTGTATAATATTTTTTAGACTTTGAGCGTAGCGAGGAATGAATTGTCGTGGTTATTATTTATTTTTTTTCCCGTGGACAACTTTTCTACCGGCAATTTAGCTCCGATTTACAAATGATAGCATTTTTTCTGAAAAAAAATCTGACTGCAGTGGTATACTTTAGGGAGGTCATCTTTTGATTTCCCCGGGAGTTTTCCCAACAGATGCGAAAACCGGTTGGAAAAACCGCTGGAAAACAGGAAAACAGGTACAATATTAAAGGAAATATATAATGCGTGTGTTATTATTTTATCATAACATGATTTATGTATTGTTGAAATATTAACACTATCGACCGAACTCCGCTCAGAATCGTCTTTTTTATTTTTATACATCAGTTATTAATATGCATTTAATTATTGCTTAGTTTCAAAAATAATCTGATAGCGAGTAAGAGTTTATTACCTGCCTACCAAATATATGAGACAATCACTCCGACTAATCGATTTTTACATTTATAATTTCAAAATGGATTCGATAAAAAGGATTCATTTTTATTTGCGACATGCTTCGTAAAGAATTCTTGAAAACCGAACAAAAGGCACTGGTAAATAAAAAATATATACGTACAAGTTTAACAATATATTAGTAGAAAAAATAGTGCCCGAGCATCATATAGTTTATGTTTTGAATTGAGAAACGGAGATGAAAAAACTTTTCGAGAATGGACCTTTTCGAATATTTACTAGAAAAAGTCAAACCATTTCAATTTAAGTAATTTATTTCAATACGTTTCCTCGTTCAAATTGTACTTTAGTTTTGAGGACATTTCAGTGTTTAAAAGATGTAGTATAATTAAAAAAAAAACAAAAACCATAAAACACGATCGCGATGAAAAATTTGTATTTAATCGGCAATTTTCGAAATTAAGTAGTACACCATCGGTAATTGGAAACAAACTGGCATACGATTGACAAATTGCATTCAATGTCATTCCAACATGTCGGAGTGCCTGCAAATCTGAGTACGCAAGAACTCACGTGCGTATTATGTTCAATATTGTTCAGGCTCGTGAAAAATGTGTCAAGTCACGAAATTGTGAAAAATGTGTTATTTGTACCGAAAAAACAAACCTCTATTTTTCGTGTAGGATATGATGCTAAGTCAATTTTTCCAATATTAAACGTGTTGTTTTAATGCGCGTTTAAGGATAATAGTCACGATTAGACAATAATAATAAGTCACGATTTTTGCGTTTTTCGTGCGTTTTAAGTAGTGCCGCGTTATATTCCATATTATAGTGACTATAAACAACGCACCTTTCAAATGCGCCGTGTGAGAAAAGTTAGCTCAACGCAATTCACGTTTATTATCGTGTTTCCTGAGTCTAGGGTCAACTGAGTTAAATCGCTGAAAAATTATTGAAATCAACGTGCATGATACAAATAAGCCGCTTTATTTTTGTAAACCGTTTACAGAAAACCGGTCAAATTTTGAGCGTTAAAGTTTATCAATTATAGCACGTCAAATAATTCCGTACAGGACAACGCATAGAGCCGTATACAGTACTCGGATCGTGGTGAAAACGTTAAAACGCTGATCTTGCGTTTTCAGATTGGTTTTTCCCTACTGAAAAGTTGCAAAATGTCGAATTGACAAGTTTTTCACACGCGCTCGCGAATCGCGAAACAGCGCAAACCCGGCACGTTACACGCAATATTGGTACGCCCGCGCTAAAATACCGCTAAAAAAAAATATATTTTCGTTTATATCCGGGTGCGTATTATAATACGGGTACAATGTTTGCCCGGCACACCGAAGGCCCCCGGAACGTTTGTTTTAAGCGACCCCGTAGGCGGAGAACACAACGACCGCGCAAATCATCGCGATGCCGGGTCGGAAGTCGGAGTCATCGGTCGATAATAATATTTCCAAAAATAACCAGTGGCGCCGAACCGTGTTTTGAGAAGATGATGGGCAGGCGAACAATCGTATAGGCCACCGCCTTCGTTTACGAAACAAATTCCCATGCAACACTCGTAATCGTTATCCCGTACGTACCAAAGCGATAAACAAATATGGCTCAGGCACCCGTAATGAATCCACCACCACCCATCCACCCATTTAAAAGAGAGCGGCGTTAGAATAACGACGGATTTCGCGGTGACGCGGTCAGGTAAATGCGCGCTATACGTTGAACACGCTATTAGGCTGCGTCCGAACACTCGACTCGGGTTGACTTTAGTTAACTCGGGTAAACACGCTGGTGTCGTTAACTCCGCGCTATACCGTTCGGTAAATGGCCGCGTACACGATCGAACAATTTGCTCAACTACAATGTTTGCGCAAACATTTTGATGGCGTGTGGAATGGAGATTGAGTAGTTGCGCAACCGTTTGAAACGGAGCTTGCGGTTTTCGCGTTATTTTGCGCAACGCTCGATGATTGATACGCGGTTCGAACGTGTATGCCGCCAGTGTTTGACGTAACGTAAAACCGTTGACCTCGGGTCGGCTCGAACGACCCGTGATAAATAGGTAGGTTTTTTTTTTTTTTTAACTCTTTTGATAGAGACGCTTATCATACAACTAAAAACAAGTGTTCCTAGTATAGCGACGACAGGACGAGACGGAGAATTATCCGCAGTTTCTATCGTATTTTATGGCCAACCTTATTTTAAACCGTGACGTTTTAACTCGCTCAGTTAATATTCTCATATTGACAGTGTGAGCATTCTATACTCCACTCCGAGTTATGGACGGCAAAAGCGACATTTTCAGCGACATTCCGGTGTTTTGTGTACGCATAACACTCGTTTGCTTTACGCGATATTATTGAGAACCGTACGGCATTATATTTTACCGTTTACGTTTTGTAAGCCTCGAAGGGAGGGGGGCCCTCCGCCCTAGACATAAACACGGCTGAGGGCCCGGATCGAGTCCGCGGCCACGGCGCTGGGCCAACGCTTCTTTGTGTGTGTGTGTGTCTGTGTGTCTGTGTGTGTGTGTGTGTGTGTGTGTGTGTGTACCCATACTGCGTACGCGCGCGCGGCGCAATAACGACAACGGCGATAATGACAAAACCGTTTGCAGCGCGTGTCCGTCCGACACCTTTGTATTATTGCTTCGTGTCGTATTACAAAAAAAAAAAAAAAAACACGCGAAAACGGGGGAAAAAGAATAAAAAATAAATGCGTGGCGCGTGCGGCACGCTCGGCCGTGTGTCGCATGTGCGCGCGCTCGGAAAAACGCGTCGCCACGTGAAATATTAACGACGCGTCGCGCGCACAGGTATAACGCGGCACACGTGCGAAAAGAGCAGGACGCGGCGACGGATCGCACGCGGGGCGCCGGGCGAGAAAACCGCGGGCCCGCGGCGGGGCGGAACACCTGTCCGGAGCGGCGCGCCGCTGGCGTGTTGCAGGGGTCGCGCGCGTGTTATGCGTAATAATAATTACGCGGCGTAACAGTCGCCCGCGTCCGCGGTCGGGCGGTCGTTTCTCGTTATCGGACCGTCGACGGTTTTTTTTTTTTAATTTACTCGCCGAAACGTCGCGTCGCGTTTTCAATATCAAACCCGCCCCCTCGCCGTTACGCATTAAATACGCACCGGCGGCGCACACGCACACACACGCGCGCGCTCGTTCGGCGGATAAAAAGCTTTTTTTGGCGCGTGTCGTCGCAATTCGTTTTTTATTTTTATTTTATCACGTGGGGCAGGTATACAATGTATACAATAATAATAATAATAATAATAGTAATAATATGTGTCGCGCAAATGCGGCGGCGGCGGCGCACCATTTATCGACGTGTCGCCGCCGCCGTCGCCGTCCCGCCCGCGTTTATGTAACGTCGTCGACCCGGTCGCGCGCCGGCCGCCCGGTTTTATCCGTACACTCGTGTACGCCGCTCGCGGCTTTCGTTCGCGCCGCCCATGGCCGTGCGTGCGGTGTGCGCGGGCGCGCGTCCCCGTTTCTCGCGCCGCTCCGCATTTCGCGTCTTCGCGGCCGCCCGTATGACCGGTACGATACCGGGCCCGGTTAAGCGTTTACAGATTTAGCCGGGTTTTTTTCCGGTTTTTCTCCGCGGTCACCTTCCCGCGCGTACCGGTCACCCCGCAGTGGGTCCGCGTATTACACGCCGGCGCACCGCGCCGCATTGCAATCGCCATTCGCACGCAACGAAGATTACTATTCGTTACGGTACCGGATATAAAGTCGCTTGATGTGATATCGCTTTACGCAGCACTTTGCGGACAGCGAGGAAAACCGCGGCGGCGGTCCCGAACAGACGTGTGGGGGGGGGAGGGGGTAGGGTAGGCGGGAGGTTTGCGGTTGGAGGTTTGAGGGGCTATAAAGCGTGCGCCGCCGGGGCGATGCTACGCGTTCTTTGTGCGCTCGCGTCCGTGTGTTTGAGCGCGCGGAGGGCAAACAAGACAAATGAGAGTTTCGGGGGCCGCGTGTATAACTTTTATAAATATATATATATATATATACACGTATAGGTATATAGTAAGCGCGACGGCGACGGCAGGGGGGGAGTTTTCGGCGGTATATACATTATGTATGTGTATGTGTGTGTGTGTGTATAATATATACGTACACGATATTCGGTATACGCCGTATATACGCGCACACGTGTACATAAACGAAGCGCACGAACTTTTATTTTACCACTTTTAGTCTATGTCTGTGCGCGCGCGTGTGTGTTGCCGTTTTATGTGAACTACTACTACTATACAATATTATACATATATATATTCTTTATACGGGCGGCGGCCAACAGTGTACATATATTCGTGTGTGTGTGTGTGTGTGTGTGTGTATATATATATACGTTATTTGTGTGTGCGTGCGAGCGGAGCGATAGGGCGGGCGCGGAGTCGGGATTTCACGGCGCCAGGACGCGGCGCGTACGGTCGACCACGACGACGACGACGACTACGACGACGACGACGACGACGGCGGCGGCGGCGGCGGTGGCGACGTGGAGGAGGCGGTCGAGGAAACGGACGACGGGGAGAGGCGGAGGAGTAATAGTAGTAGTAGTAGTAGTAGTAGTAGTATAGTTGTTGTGGTGGTAGTAGTAGGAGGTGGTGGCGGACGCGGTGGAGGAGGCGGTGGCGGACGACGGCTCCGGCTCAGGACGTCCATCATTTGTCAACGTCCGCGGCACGGGTACACGCCCCGTGCCGCCCGGCCGGGTCGCCATGGATACGCGTGCGGCGGCGGCGGCGGCGGTGGTCGCCGCCGTCGTACACGTCGATTGCACTCCGTCACGCCGCCGACGCGCGCGCACACGCTCGCGGCCGCGGACGCCGACGGACGACCCGTGTCGCCGTGGCGGGCGAGCCGTCGGGCCAGCGCGCGGGCGCGCGTTTCCGCTTTGTGCCGCGGCGACTACCGCCCCTAAAATCCGACGCTACGCGTACGGTGTACGGCGCAGCAGGGCGGGCGAGAGCGAACGGAGGAGAACCTTGCGCCACCGCCGGCCGAGCCGACGCAAAAGACAACGGCGAAATTTTCGCGTTATTACACATTTTTCACGACGAATTTCGTTCAGTTTTTGTATCGTTAAGGTACCAATAATCACGTAGCCGCGGGTCCCGGGCCACGCGTGTGCAACCGGTTTGTCGAGAACGTCCGCGCTCGACAACGGAAAACCTATCGGGTCATTTTCGGCACGCCGGTATATTCGAACGAAACGGTTAGAAAGTTCGTTTTTTTTTTTTTAAATTTTGAGCGATATATTTTTTAAAAAACAAACAAATGTCGTTACACGTGTTTATAACGAGTCGATAGCTCGTGTATCGGGGGCTGGGGCGAACAATAAGAAAACTGCACACACGTTTTTTTTTTTTGTTTTAAATTATTATTATTATAATTAATATTATATCATAATTAGGTTATATTATTAATTATTATTATTTTTTATATTATGCATTATAATTGTATGTATGTACGTGTGTATATATATATATGAATATAATTATGTATTATGCGTACATTTTATAATCGTCAGATTCGCCTTCGTCCACGGGTAATATAATCGCTCGTACCTTTAATAATATTATCTGCGTTTATTCGTCCGTCCGTCGTTACTACTATTATATTATAATATAAATTAGATGTATCGATAATAATAAATATAATTAAATTTTTTTTTTTATATATATATATATATTATATATCACATTGTAAAAATTATACACAAAAAAAAAAAATACTAAACACGTAAGATCTATATATATATATATATATATATATATATATATTTATATATGTATATATATAATATGTACAAGAATATATTATAATAATAATATATATTATATATATATATATTTATATATATATATATATATATATATACACGTATTGTATATGTATAAGTTGCAGCTGCACAAAAAAAAAAAAAATTCGCTTCCGTCAAAAACAAACATATTTTTATCGTATACCGTTAATCGTATATATATATATATATATATAATAAATATATATAGTAATAATAATAATAATAATAATAATAATAATAATAATAATATATTTTATAAACCGAGACTTAATCGAACTAGAGAACATACAAAAAAAAAAAAAAAAAAATAATAATAATAATAATAATTATATCAATAATAAAATTAGTAATTTTTTTTTTTTAAATTTTAAAATACCTATATAATATATAATTATACGTATATACATTTAAAATACATTATACACTCGCACACAAACACACGTTTTTGTTATAACATTATTATTACAATATACTTTGTGTGCGTATACATACATCGGGGTTGTTTTTTTTTTTTTTTTAATTATTCAAATACATAATATATCATTATCATATTGTTGTTTTTTTTTTTTTTTACACGTTATTAATAATACACAATACATTATAGCTAAAAAATAGTAGAAGACTTTTACAAAGAATATATAATTATTATTTACATCGTACACATTATATTATCGAATAATTAATATTATATCATACATTACATTATTATCGTATCGTATACTTACATATTTTATTACGTTATTATACTGTTACGTCGCGTTATGTTTATTGTATTTGTACATGTATGTAGATAAAAACGTAACGCGCATATCGTTATAGAGGAGTGTACTGGCACAGAAAATAATAATAATAAAAAAAAAAAATTAAAAAGCGAAATACGATAATAATAATAATATTATTATTATTATTATTATTATTATTATCATCATCATTATTATTGTGTCTATCGCGTATAACGTTTTTTTTTTTTTTTTTTTTGATATAGTAAAAAAGTCAACGACAAAAAAAATATATTCCGTAATCCAGCGGACATCGCGTGCGTATCTATTGTTGTTGTCTACCGTCTATACAGTCGACGGCCCTATACTATATGTATAGGTACAGTATATCCTACGGTGTAGGATTTTACGTTTTTGTTTTTGGTTTTTTTTTTTTTTTTTTATGATTTTTTGTTTGTTTCTGTTTTCGCGTATAAAACATAATATAATAAACAACAACAACAATAATAATAATAATAATAATAATAATAGTACAAATAATAATAAATAAACTATCGTCCGCGGTACACGATAATTATACTATAATACCTATATACACATAATGTTATAATGCCTACCTACAACTATATAATAATAATAATAAGACGAATATATTATATACGTAAATAACAATAAAAACATAAATGTTATCGCGCGTCCGAGCGATAAGAAAAAAAAAAAAGTAGGTAAGTGTTAAAAAGTACGAAAAAAAAAAAAAATAATAAAAATAATAATAATAAGAAAAGGACGTAACGTCGTTTCTATCGTTCTATCGAGAATAGCCAGAAGTGAACGATAATAATAATAATATTACAGCGATGACGCGTTGCACAATCATAACGAATAACAATAATAATAATACAAATAATAATATTTTAAACGCGGAACACAAAAAACAAAAAAAAAAAAACGAAACAAAACAGTGATTCGCGCTGGGCGCACGGGTATTAAAACAATAAAAAAAAAAAAAAAACATTTTCGGTTTTGGGTTTTGGTTACCATTTTTTTTTTTTTCGTGTTTTTCGTCAAAATATCGCGTTCCCCCGTTTCTCGCGAAACTATTATCGGGTCGTCTTTTCTTTCTCTTTTGGTCGATCTATATGACATGCACGCGTTACGTTCGCATATTCAAATAATGTACGATAATATGAATCGTGAAAATGCACCGTTAAAAAATGTTTGGTAACTAAGAAAAAAAAAAAAAAATCACGCGTAAAACAAATAACAAACAAAATCAAAAATGCCGACCGTTCCGTGTTATTATTAGGGTATATTGCGCGTAACGTGATGTACTGCACGCGTATGTGGCGACACGTCAAATAATAGACGACAGACACACGAGGATTTTTATTATTATTTTTTTTTTTTAAAAATAACCCCGCGAAATTATACACGCGTAACCGGCCCGTATCGGTGAATCAATTTCCCCCGCCCCTGCCCCAGGTTTTCGCTCTCATCGGATTGTTATTCGTGATAAGCACCCGAGTCGCGAAGAAAAAAAAAAGAAAAGAAAAAAAATGTCTACGTATAATCGTGTATCGGACGTTATATTATTATTATTGTTATTTATTTATTTGTTTGTTTGAAATAACTAAATGTAATCGTACTCGTTTTATATTACAATTTATTATATATATTTGTTTTTCCCAAATATATACGACGTTATAATAAATACAAAAACATGACTAGTAGTTAATAACATAATAATAAAAATAAAAAAATAAAATAAAAATACGCGAAAAATAACGTTTCTTTTTTATATCATATATTATAATAATATACTCGTAGTTTTTTTATGTATAAATATATATTTTATTCTTATTATTATTTTTTTTTTTTTTACGTTTTCCCGTACATCCGAGTAAATAAGTTTCGCGCGTTATCGACAATAACCCATACTCGTATTACGTGCGACGATGACAATATTTCGTTTTAAACGTAAATATCCCTCCTCGCGTGTTTCTAACCCCGCGACTCGTCCCCGTTATGATCGTCTCGCGCGCGCTTGAGAAACGCGGCGAAAATGCCAGACTGGCGGCGAGGGGGGGGGGGCGAACGGGATCTCGGAATCGCCGGGCGAACCCGTTCGGTTTTGCTATAGACGTTATGCCACGATTCGGGGCTTTGTGAAAAACCCCGATTTCCACTGTGTTTCATTAAAACACGTTTGGAATCTAAGAAAAAATAAAAAAAATCTCTTTTTTCTCCACCCTCTCCATCCCCTCCGAGGGGTGGTCTTCCGGAATTTTCCCGTTAATCCTCCGTCGCGTCCGCCCGTTCCCGGCGAGTACGACGGACAACAGCACGTGGTGGAACTCGGTCGCGCAATATTCTCGTATTCCGGGAGCGGTTTCGGGATCCGCGAAACGCGTTCTGTTACTGCGGCAACCAAACGGTGCGCGCGTTTATGTCTTTCTACGCGAAAATTACAATCCCGTATACGGTTCCGAGACGATACAATAATCGCGTATGGTCGTGCGGGTTTCTGTCACTCGCTTCCCGCGTTATCGCGACGTTTACGGGATTTTTTTTTTCTCATACGAAAGGCCGGCGTCGCGGAATGGTGGAGGGGAGGGAGAGGAGTCGTTTTTATGTTGTTTTATTTGCTTTTAGTTTTCATTTCACGCCGTTTCTAGCGATTCGCGGTCGCCGTACTGTCGTCCGATATCCGACCGAAACACGCACGGGGAAACGCGCGATCGCCGCAAGGGGGTACGCGGCGTCGTATTGTATCCCGGAACATAAGTGGCGGGCGTAACGACAGTATTTATTTCGTACACGAGAAAAAAAAAAAGAAAAAAAAAAACGAAAATAAAAAATTACAATGATTACGTGTACGAACACGATAATGTGTATAGCGACCAGTGAAAAACAAATGACAAACAAAAAAATCAGACATCAGTCGACCGGATCGTGTTTGTGTGTGTGTGTGTGTGTGTGTTTGTGTCTGCGGTGTGTTTGTGTGTGTATATGTGTGTTAGTGTGTGCACGCGTGAGCGCGACGGTCTATTATATATATATATATATAAATATAATAATAATAAAAATACAATAAAAAATTACAATATTTATACGATTATAAACGTTATTATTGCGCGTCGTTATTACTATACGGTTAGGCGGCTGCGGCGGTGTTGTCGTCGTCGCGATGTGGGTATACAATTGCGTAGCGGTGCCGCGTTATTCACTACAAATGACCGTAGTATTGTGCCGGGTAATGATGATACTCGTTGTGATAGGCCGGGTCGCCCGGCGGTCTGTGACCGGCCGCCGCGAGCATCTGGGACTGTCCGTCCATCATGTATCCGAGACCGGCGGCCTCGGGGCTGTACGCTCCGCTGGGACCGGCGTGCGGAGAGAATACTGAAACAAACGGGGAAAAAAAAATAAAATAAAATAAAATAAGTCACGAATCGATACACGCGCACTCGCGTTATATTATTTACACTTATATCGTACGCGCGCGCGGGGGGGGAGGGGGGGAGGAGGGCATTTTTGGCGCGAGAACCGGAGCGGAAACCGTCGCGAAAACGGTATAATACTTGTATTACGACGAGCCGACTGCGTACACACACGGTCCGGACGAAACGGTGTAATTTATAGCGTCCCATCGCGCGGAGCCGTTTCGGAGAGAGCGCGCGCCGCGTGTGCACACGTATGGCCGGGTGCGGGGAAAAGAGACGAAAACCGTCTATCCCGGAGCGACGCGAGTTCCTTTTTTTTTTCACTCCTCCACTATCCGCGCGCGATCACTTTTCATTTCCCCCCGCGCGCGCGCGCTCGAGGATTGACGGATCGCGGTCGCGCGGACCCTGCGCCGGGGTCGCCGCGGTCCGTTTTTCTCGAACGCCGCACGGCCGCACTGGCCGCCTCCGGCGACAAGACGTATAGCCGCCGCTATAAATTTCCCGTGCACCTTGCCGCCGGGCCGCCGCGCGTGTCGGCGACGGCCGCGGCGGCGAACGCGCGAAATGTGCGACGGGAATTACGACGAAAGTGACACGACGGCGCTCGCGCGGGGTTGGGGTGGGAGCGCGGGGGTTATTGGGCCTCCTCCCCCTCGACTACACACGAGCGATTTACTATCGAAACGCGCGCTAATATTCCGGCCGACAGTGAGTCGCGCTTGCTAGGAATAGCTCGACTGGAAACTGGCCTTTTCCCGTGCTTCTAGTCTATTCGACTTTGTA